TGCAGAGTAAAAAATAACACAAAGTCGTCACACAATGAGAAACAACTCACCTGATGCAGGGTAAAACAGAACACAAAGTTGTAATACAGTGGGGGAGCGAACTCACACAAACCCAGAACACATCACCGCTTGAAAGGAACTTGGATGATGCATGGTAAAAAAAAATACATTATGGTGGAAGTGTTATCGACCTTCAAAGGAGTGTTAACATTGTGTACTGGGAGAAAAGGTAGGATACACATAAACTATGGCATAACTATACTGCACCTTCAACGTTTTCCCCAACACCCCCTCTATTCCTACATTCATATGCCCAAAAAATAGGATATTTAACAAGATCAGTTGAAGAAGCCAATGTGTCAATCTTTCTCTATTTGCTTTCATTCGTTTACTCCTTTTTTTTACAACAAAGAGAACCTCAAGATATTCAGTGTAACTAGACACGTTGTCACAGCATGAGGTGGGGTGATGGGGTTTATGTTGTTGTGGGGTGCGCACTGATGTTGCTAGGAAAGGTAGATAATGCCCATCTTCGAAGGAGGTGTTTCCACATGACCTCCTGAGTGAATGTTCATAGTCCCCTCACTTCGAGTCACTTGACATATGGTGAGGTTGGTCATAGGGGCACTCAGCCACGAATCCACCCCGAAAACCCACCAGATGTTCGTTTTGTCTCACACAACATTGAGGTCAGGTGTGTTGAGTTGTCACGGTAATAGCTAGTCTACAAAGTATTGCAAGCGAATAATTGCAATATGTGATTTGCAAAAAACGTTGATGACTCATATGGCTAAGGCCAACAATTCCACGAACAACAAAATAAAGAATTCAGGATAAGATATGATACGACTACTGCCCCAACAGATACTGTGTTTTGGAAGGGGGGAGGGAAAGAAACTTTCAATTTTTGCTTAAACCTCAAGTACACGGCCCCAGCCTTGCAGAAGTTTTTATCGTCATAAGCAAAGCTCAGAGGGGCCGCGAGACGAAGGATGTCGTTGTGAGAAAAAAAAAGAGCGGTTTGAGCCGGCCTCCGAAGTGGTGCGGTTTTCTTGTTGACACCTTGGGGCAGATGTATGATGTAATGGTACTTTAAAGTTTACAATGCAGTCTGCGTTTGCAACTGCAGTTCAGTCTGTGATGCACTGATACCAACCTCACGCTCACACAACGTTCCGTACTTCGGACGCCGATCAAAGTTTTTAGGTGTGTGGCCAAGGATTTTTGGCTGTGGGGGTTAAGTCACCCGGATGAAACGGGGGACCGTTGCTTCAGCCCGAGGTACCTGGATGGGGGTTTGAGCTGTCGTCGAAGGCGGATGACAGGAGAACGGTGGCTTATGGCTCGACCGTCATCACTTTCAGGAAAAAATAAAAAAAAGAAAAATGAGAGGAGAGGGGAGAAGAGAAACGAAGCCGACGGGAATAGAGTTCCGTTCCCTAAGGCGCATGGTTCGCCCGACCCTTGGGGGGAGAGGCCCCGAAAACGCGTTCAGGCTTCGTTGTGAGACTCGTCGAGTCCGTGTGGACGGCACGGCACGGGCTGCCCTGAGGTCGGACACGTTGATGGGACCCAGGTTCAAAAACGGGCGGCGCGTTGTGGGAAAGTTAAGGGAATCGAGTAACCCCTTCGTACCCCAGGATCAACCGTCGCCACGAACACGAGTCTCCTTGGCAACACCACCGACATTTAAACTGTTGCCGGCCATGCGGCGTGCGCAGCTGACCAGGGCAACACCGTTAGGTCAGTGTAAGGCAGGATTAAAGGTGGGGAAGTAAATCGCTCGATCAACACGAACCCACTCCCAACTATGTGGCACGCCCGGGTCGGGTTATAAAGACGGATCGACTCAGAGCGCCGCAGTGTGCTTGGCACGTCCGCATCGCAGTACACACCGTCGTCATCTGTGATCAGTAAAGGTGGAAGTGCGCCGCGACTTCCAGAGACAAAGTTCGAGCTTGGGCCACGGCCCACACTCCCGTCAATCGAAACGAGACCTGACTCTATGCAAGGACCAACAAATACCACCAAGAAGGAGTCGCCTAGCTCCCTCCCTCCCTCCCTCTCTCTCTCTCTCTCTCTCTCTCTCTCTCTCTCTCTCTCTCTCTCTTAGTGGGCATCAACCCCGGCTTGGTGTCGGGGATCCAGTGTGGACGCGAAGATTTCCGTCGCTTCTCGTAGACGCGAACGATCGATCTCTCCGGATCCGTTTCTCCGGAGTTCCCGATCTGCTCCCAATGAGAGAGAGGGAGAGCGAAAGGCGGTCGACGCGTATCACGCACACCCGCGCGAAGTCAAGGTGGAAGGGAATGAAGAAGGATCGACACACCCATGCACTCATGCAAGCGATGGACACCCTGTGCCTCTTATCATCAGCCCTTACCGAGACATTCAACATCCGTAGACTCCCATTCCTGCGAATGCATGCAACAGACTACCCACACATTGAGACCTTGCACGTTCTTAGTATAAAGAATTCTCACGACAGGCCACTCAGGGCCCAGCCCCCAATAATCCGTCAAAACCACCGACAACCATAGCCACAAGGACCTCCCACTACCGGCGTCTGATCTCCACCACCGCTCAATCCCTCCGACTGCCTTACCCCAAGTCTATCGCTTAATCTGCCACATGTCGTCACTCCGCCCGCTACGGGGCACGTCGAGCCTTTCTGGCTCCGCAGGTTTTAGGCATAGCTCGCAGAGCTTGCAGCCGACATCAAAGAGAGTGAGAGGAAGGGGTTGCGAGAATTTATAGCGCAGGAGGCGGCGGGGAGGCTGCACGAAGCGTGGAGTGTAGATGATCGGAACAGAAGAAGGGAAAACGTTCCAGAAGGATCGAAGGAGGCGAGTCGAATGATCTGCGTGATTGGGGTGGTCGTCCAAGCGGGGTGCGCTTCCCGCGGCCACCTTATTGCCCTGACCATCCCAATAAGACAGCCAATCATTCGCAGGGTAAGGGGAAGGAGGGGATCGGACTTCGCTTAGAGGGAAGACGAAGAGACCTGCAAGAGGGAGATGCACATCAAGAAAGGAAGATGGTGCGGGGATGCCGAGCGGGAGAACAGGTTTACGCGACGATCAAAGATTCAAAAACAGCCGCGCGCTCAAAAATTCAAAAATCCTACTCCCGCTAAGTCCCACCTGGCGCGACCGCTAACCGACCATGCAAGATCTGAATTACAACAGAAAGAAGAAAAAAGTAAAATGAAGCACCATTTTCCCCCATTATTTTTAATTCGTACTTCGGGGCTCTACGTGGGATTTTCCCTTACTAGGGGTACGGGAAGCCGCCGAGTACGGATCCTGGCTTATCACAAGTCAGACATCTGGTCAGTTTTTCTTTGTTCTTTTCGTTTCCTTTTTTTGTATTTGTTTTCGTTTTTTTTTTTCCGGACATGGCCAAGGTCCAAGGTATCTCTTCGTGTGGTTAGGCGACAACAGATATTCCTCGGCCACACTCGAGATTAAAAAAAAAACTTTTTTTCATGTTTTTTGTTTTTTTTAAGTTTTTTTTTTTTCTCTCCCAGGCATGACCGACAAGTCGCATCGCGTGGCTGGGTCACGACCGAGATGCCTCGGCCACACCCGAGATTAGAAGGAGGGGAAGGGCGGGAAACGTGCCTGACTGAACTGCAGTTACAAACTCAAATTACTTGTACCGGACCCACCAGGTGTGGTGCTCCGCTAGTGACAGAGATGGAGATGGAGGAAGAAGGGGGAGCAAGATGGCACAACGCAGCTCCCCACGCAAGACTCCAACGCACGTACTCCAAAATGTGCAAGTGAGGAATGAGACTGAAAACAGACAATGGCTGGGGTATACCCCAGCGGACTGACGGGACTGGACTGGTCTGGCTGGTACCGACAGAGGTACCGGCCTGGACTGGCCTACCCCGAATATCACATAGGCCTGTGAGAACAGGCCTGTGAGAACAGGCCAAGGGGCTGGTCTCACAGGCCAACCCGAGGTCCGCTACACGATCCTCGGYCTGTGATGGATCGCCTAGATACAAACATGCTTCCGCCAAGAAGCGGAACTCTACCAAAGAAAAGAAAACCTGAGTAGTCTAGGATGCGGAGCAAGCTCCATGCTGAGTCCATGCGATGCAACCTAGGATATAAAATGTCACAAAACAGCAATGTTACAGCTAACAGCCTCAGTGAAAGTAGGAGCAACTAACTAACATACATGTCATAGGAAAGCAAAAAGTAGTGACAACTAGATCCTAGAATGTTGGAGGCACTCGCCTCAGTCTGGTAACAACTGATTAGTGTATAAGTCCTAAAAACAGCAAAAGCAGAGCAGCTAAATCCTAGAAACGTCGGAGGCAGTAGCCTCAGTCTGAGAGCAACAAAGCAATCAACAAGACAACCATATGTCACATGAGAAGTGTGTCGCACACCAAAGGGTGGGATGGTCCCTGAGGGTGGCGAATGCAGCCTAGGGGTCGAAAACTCCTAAGGGCATCCACATATAGTGATAAGGGAAAACACATGTCATCAGGCTCAATGAGGGTAGGGAACTGAGAGCGAACAGAACCAATGACCCTAACAGATAGACCATCAGGGTGGGTAATGCTCGACTAAGGGGTGACCGCTATGGAGGGTCGACCATGCAAGGGAACAAGGGAGCCTCGTATATTGGACGCATCTAGATGAAGCATGCGGGGCTGCCTAACTAGGGCGTGAGGGCCGGCGAAGGGTAGAAAGATGATGGGTAAGAGAATCATGCAAATGACTCCTAAAGTGAGGGAAGTCGGAGCTAGATCCGTAAGATGGGAAGCCAGGGCAACGCTACGGTCCCGATGCCTATGCGTATACCAAGGGAGAGCCCAACTCAGAGGAACCCGGCTAAAGGGGGACCATCATGCGACACAAGCAGGGTACTGTACAGGGTAGAGTGGTAAGAGAGTGGCGACGTCTGAAGTAGGCAGAGCTGATCGTGATGAAGTCCATGAAGCTGCCGATGACGTCCACGATGAGAAGTCCGGAATGTCGTCGAGGAAGAGCCGCAGCATCGACGAGCTGAAGTAGCAAAACTGATGTGGATGGAGTACTGAGAAGTCAAAGACGTGGGAAGGTAAGTCAGAGTCAATCGTCGTATCAAGTAGGACGACGACGAGTGCGCTGTGGACGCTCAGAAGCAGCCGGCTGCTGCTTAAGGTCTACCTCAGATGGAGAAGGCTCAACTTCAGCGGTCTCCTCAACCGGAGGAGAAGGAGGAGGCTCAGTGGGTTGAGGAGGAGCAGTGAACCCAGCACGACGAGCACGGTCATAGGCACGCACCAACATGCGAGCGTGCTCCAAGTGCTCGAGGGGCTYCCAGGTAGCCTCCTCATMAGGGTAACCCTTCCAACGTACGAGATACTCGACGTGGGGAGGGTTGTCGTCGGTGACTCGGCGACCAATGGTGTCTGAAACGAGGAACTCCTCGTGGCTGTCCACCATGATGGGTGGAGGGCKCTCGTATGGTCGTCCAACGAAACGCTCAGACGGTCTGCGGTAAGGATGCAGTAACGAGACGTGGTAGACATCATGCACACGAGCCTGGCGTAGGTAGTCGGGCAGCTTCACACGAAAGTTGACCGGGCTAGATGTCGTATCAAAACTGACGGCCTGGAGGATGCGGCATGGGCCAAAGAAGCGACGTCGAAACTTGCGAAGCGTGTCCGCTTCGAGCTGTAAGTGGCGGGCGTCGATAAGCACATCATCATCGACCTTGAATGGGTGATCCATCCTCGATTGGTTCGCACGTGCTGCCATGCGAGTCTGGGAAGCGGCTATGTGCTCATGTGCGGTCTTCATAATCGACGTCATGTGTGCAACCCAATCATCCAGCGCGGGACAACTCGTGTCRGGGTGCATCTGGGACGGTCGAAGGAAGTCCGCGGGAACACGCAGGTGATAGCCGAGGTCGCAATAGTAAGGCGACATCCCCGTGGCTGGCGAGACGGYGTGGTTGTAGGCTATCTCCGCGTGGGCAAGATGGAGATCCCACTGCTGGTCGTCACGAACAATCTTTCGGAGAATATCCCCGATAGTCCTGTTCGTGATCTCGGTCTGACCATCAGTCTGAGGATGGTAAGACGAGGAGAAGCGGAGCTGAGTGCCGTACACCGCGTGGAGCCGTCGCCAGAATCGGCTGGTAAAGCGCGGGTCACGGTCAGATATGATGCTCAGAGGTAAGTCGTGGTCGCGCACGACTCGGTCAAATATGATGTCGGCGACCTCACGTGCACTGATGGCATAGCGGCACGGAACAAAGCGTGCACGCTTCGTGAAGCGGTCAACGACGACCAGGATAGAATCATGACCGCGGGGGGTCGGAGGTCGAAGAGGACCGATAAAATCCATCGAGATGGACTGCCAACGACCCTCAGGGATAGGAAGAGGTTGGAGCAAACCATAAGGAGGGTGGTTCGCACTGTTCACCTCCTGACAGGTGGGACACTCTGCGACGTAGTCCTTCACAAAGTCCTTGCGCTTCGGCCAGATGTACAGGCGGCTCACACGAGCCAACGTCTTGTGGAAGCCCATATGAACGGCAGCTGCCTGGTCATGGAACTCTGCTACTGCTCGGACACGTAGCTGTCCAGTGGAGGGAACACAAATGCGGGGCTCTCTGGTGCCATGTGAACCGTGCCAGTACACAAGACCGTTGTCCCCGAGAGAGTAGTTCGGGACGGTCTTGCCACTCCGAAGGGTCGCGTGGATGTCGCGATAGTCGGGGCAGTGGCGATACTGAGTGCGAAACTCGTCGATCACCGAGTGGTGAACGGTGCTGACCGGGATTGAAGATAGCTGGATGTGCTCCTGGTCGTGGTCAAGGCGCCGGGATAGTGCATCTGCGACCCGATTAGTCTCACTCTTGATGTACTCTGTGGTGAAACTAAACTCGGATAGGTCGCGCCACCAGCAAGCCTGTCGATGAGTGAGCTTCAGCTTTGTCAGAAAAGCCTGGACAACAGAGTTGTCCGTGCGCACCGTGAATGGTGCCCCGTGCAGGTAGTGACACTAGTGCCGAGCGGCATAAACTACTGCAAGAACCTCACGTTCATCAGCAGTGTAGTTTATCTCAACGGGCAGGAGCTGACGGGAGTAGAAGGCTATCGGACAATCACCTGAGCGAGACTCGACAGTGCCGTCCTTGGCGATGGTAGGAGAATAGTCAATAGAAGGCTCGTTTGTAGCTGGTCGAGTAGGCGTCAGTCGGGAAGCAGTGGCAGGGGTAGGTGGTGGGAAGCGAGGGATACGAGGATGAGAGRAATCAGGAGATGAGGGGAAGACCTGAGAAAGCACTGCTCCTACAGGGAAGTCTGACGCATCGGTGGTAAGGATAAAAGGGCGGTTAAAATCGGGTAGGTGAAGAACCGGTGCGCATGTCACCGCCTTCTTGAGGGCGCGGAAGGCGTCCTCGTGGAGGGRTGTSCMAGCCCAGGGTGGGTTCTTCCGGAGGRGGGTGGAGGTAAGGACGTARGAATACCTAGCGTATCCCCGGATGAAGTTACTATAGTAGCTGGTCAGGCCTAGGAAGCTGCGAAGCTGCTTGGCGGATGTGGGAGCGGGCCACTCCGCAATAGCAGTGATCTTCGCGTCGTCCATGTGGAGACCCTGGTCAGACACGTAGTGTCCTAAGAAATCCACTTTGTGCTGGGCAAAGCGGCACTTGCTTAGCTTGGCGTAAAAACCATGTCTGCGCAAGCGATCAAGGACGTCGCGGAGATGTCTAAGGTGCTCCTCAAGGGTACGACTATAGACCAGGATATCGTCGAGGTAGACGAGAACGTACTGCTCCAGGATGTCCCTGAAGATGTCATTCATCGCCCTCTGGAAGATAGCGGGTGCGTTGTGAGGCCGAATGGCATCACCGTGAACGATCGGAACGTGGTCTTCGGCTGGTCGGCTGTAGCGACGCGGATCTGATGGTAATCGCTACGAAGGTCAATCTTCGTAAAGAAGCGGTTGCCTGCTAGGCGGTCGAACAGCTCATCGGAATGAGGCATGGGGTAGCTATTCTTAACCGTGTAGCGGTTGAGGCCGCGGTAGTCGATGCAGAGACGAACAGTTTCATCCGCTTTGCGAGAAAAGAGGACGGGTGCACCCCACGGGGAGTTGCTGGGTTTAATGAAACCCAGTCTCAGGAGCTCCTCAAGATGACGCTTGAGTTCGGTGGCCTCGGGGATCGAGAGTCTGTAGGATGCCTGGTGGTGAACACGATAGTCAGGCACGAGCTGAATGGAGTGCTCGACGTCACGCATCGGTGGGATCCCGGCGTACGAGAACGACGATGGGAAAACGTCGTGGTACTCTCGGATGAGGTCACGAACTGCGGGCTCCAAGTCAGTCGTATATCATGCGAGTTCCTCAGCGTCAGCGTCAGCGCGCGACGGCGGGGTGGACTCAACGGACGGCGGAGGGACTGAGGTAGAGATAGTAGCCATGGAGATAGAGGGAGAATCTGGCTCCAGAGGGATGAGCTCGACGTTAGGACAGGGTGGATCATAGTGTAAGAGATCCGTCACGTCCACCATAAGGAAGGTGACATCGTCTTGTCGAATGAAGTGAGCGAACTGCCGAGGCGAGGTGACAGTGATAGAGAGAGATGGTGTGGGCACTGAAGGCTCCGGGGGAGGAGGATCGGGGTGTGGTGTCGCCGTGGTACCTATGAAAGGTACGCGATACATCTATCCACACTTCGTTTTGAGAACGAGAGTGTTGGTCGCCCAATCGGCCTCGGTGCTGCGGAACCGACAAGACCACGGAGTGCCGAGAATGAAGTCGTACCCCGTCTCCATCACATCGAAATGTGCAGAGGAGCGGTGGCGACGAGACGCCGGGGAACGCTCAGTCGGTTCGAGAGTGAGGAAGAAGAAGAGGTCGGTGACTGTCTGATCGAAGAAACGCTGGGTCTTGTCATCCCCTAGGGTAATGGAGATGGGAGTCGGAGACCCTGTCGTGGGTAAGCGGGCTTCCTTCACCACGCGTGGGTGAATGAAGTCGCCCTGAGAACCGGAATCCCACAACGATGAGTACACCCTCGTGGAGGTCCCGAGTCGTACGGGGATGATCGAGAGGGTGCGATCAGGGTCAGAGAGGATGGTGAGAAGGCGACGCAGTGCAGCAAGATGGAGGGTGAGTCGCTCCTGACGAACCTGGAGCATGCTCAAAACCAGAAGAGAGGACACAACGTCCTCGCGAGTAGCAAGCTGCTCGCTGCAACGGGCTGAGTGAATGGCTCGACGTGTCGGTAGTCGCGGCGGGAAAGGAGGGGAGACGGTCGTCTGCGGAGGCGCAGACGGTACTGCGACAGAGGGCGGAGTACACTCTGTCGAGTCCTGCGATGCCTCAACTCCAGTAGCGAGAGGGGCGAACCGCGACGGAGATGTCGGGAATCCCACTACTAAGGAGGGCGCAGGTGTACACTGCACCATGGCTAGGAGGCGCCGCGGGGACGTGAGGCGCCGCGGGCACAAACACCCACGCCGGCCTAGAATAGCCGCGCGCTCCTCAGGGGAAAGGACACCACGAGGAGGGACGAAGCCCTGAGGGCGGTCCTCCTAAGGGACCTCGGGGGGCGATGCGCCAGCGTGACCGGGGTGCTGCGTGCCCGAGAGAGGGCAGAGAGCGCGAGCTAAAGGCGCTCAGCTGCAGGGAGGGTAGAGTCCTCCAAGTGATAGTGGACGACCTCGCAGAGATCGCGGTCGTCGCTGTGGTCGCCCTCAGATGACAGTGGGGCAACAGCGTCCTGCTCACCATACTCGAGCGCACTGAAGCGGCGCGAGAAGTGGCGGCCGCGCTGCGTGGAACGGCGGGGGCGACCGCGGAAAGGGGAACGGCGCCGGGAAGTGCCGTGAGAGGAGGAGGAGGCGTAGCCCGAGCGTTGGGGCTGGGAGGAGGAGGCGGGGTGAAGATGGGCTCACATCCGCTGGTGGTCCCTGGCGGCCTCGTAAGCCTGTGGGGCCGATGTGAACTCGTACCACCATAGCTCGGAGCGGTACTCGAGCGGAAGGCTGGCCGAGAAACGATCGATAAGGGCAGCCTCGGGGAGGAACGCCACGTCGCAAACGAGGCGGGCGTCCTGAAAGACCTGGATGTGGCGATCCAGGCCGGCAACGCCACCAGAGCCGGACAAGTGTGTAGTGACGACACGCTCGAAGGCGTCAGTCACGTCGTATCGGGCTCCGAAGCGATCCTCGAGGAACGCCTGGAAATCCACGAAGGTCAGAGTCCGACCCTCACGAAAGGGGGAGGCATAGAAATCCTCCCGGGCCTCAAAGGGACTGCCACACAGGTGCATGGAGAGGTGACCCACCCACGTCTCGGGTGTGGCGCCCATGAGCTGGAGTGTGCGGGTGGCAGACTGCAGTCACCGAGACACGCGTATGCTTGTACCCTCATATAAGGTAATGTCCGACAAGCGGATGAGTGGTGCGCCACCGTTTTGGCGGCGAGGGGATTGAGAAGCGGAGGCCTGTGCCACGACTGAGTAAGTCGGCGCAGGTCCTGGAGAAAGGGGCGCAACTAACTGTGCGCCTGGGCCGCATGGGGGAGCGACGGTGGCAACAGCGGCAGGCTGCGAGGGTGCTTCGGTAGAAGAGGTCGCAGCAACCGCGGGAGTTGGAAGAAGGAAGAAAAGAGTTGTATAGGGTGCAGGGCGCGGAAAGCGAGCCTGCATGGGAGGAAGGGTAGAGGAGGTAGGGGGTGTGCCCGAAGGCGCGGCCACCTGTGAGGGTGGGGGTGGCTAAAGGCGTAAGAGGGCGAGGTTGGCCCGGAGCTTGGCAATCTCGTCCTCGAGACCTCGAACGTAGGTCGTGCGAGGGGTAGCAGGGGGAAGAGTGGAGGAAGTGGATGCACAAGCGGCGCGGGGCATCCCAGAGGGGGGAGAGCCAGGTGGCGCTGCGGTCGTGYGAAGGGGGGCGAGGAGCGGGGCACCC